GCTCATTCTGAAGGGAACCGTTCTGATCACTCGCCATCATCACACAGTGTCAGTGAACAGTAGGAACATGACAGCAGATCATATCGAGCTCTGTGTTGTTTTATTACACATATTTGTTTTTATGAATCAAATATTGATGATTAGAAGACAGTTCCTTACCTGACTTCTCCGTCCTCTCTCTCTAACCTGTAGAACATGACACGCCCACTGATGACATCACAGTAACACCTCAGGTTCCCACTGGGAACCAAATGTACAGACTAACAAACTAAATTGTTTTCATATTCATGTTAATATTTAGGTGAGTAAAGCTGCACAAAACCCATTTCATGTTGGTGGACAAGAGGTCAAAGACACAAAATGACATCAGACAGGTGTGACAGCTCTGAGGTCTGTGTGGTTGCTCAGGTGTAGTGGAGGTGGTGGAGCCCTCTGCATGTCTGTGGCCCATCATCTTATGATCCACACCTGTCTGTTAACATTTAGCCACAGCTTCTTTACATGATGAAACTCCAGGTCTTCTGCCCCCTGGTGGTGACAAAGGGTCAGGGTGCCTGTCTTCAGACTATGTGACTGCACATGTGTGTTTTACTGGAGTCCATGTTTCTGACTCAAAGCTTCAGTGTAGTGACAAGAAAAGAAAAATAAATACCTTTTGGTGTTTGATGAACGAATTGTTGACTTCTTTAACAAACCATGAAGGTATCCAACAAAACAGTTACCATGACGACACACATATAAACACACATTTACGTTTCTATAATCATAAACCTGATATTCATTAGTAAAAAATATCCTGCTGAATAAAACCTGTAAGAATCATAAACATTTGTCTCAGAGTTAATTTTCTGTAATAATCAAAAAAATAAAGTCCAAATGAAAAATTCTGCTTTTTGAACCAGGGCGACACTGACTCTGTTCCAACCATCAGCCTGATGGTGACACAGGAGGAAACGTCAAGTGTCACCTGAATCATTACGGTCTAGAACATGTCAGAGCACCTGGAGGAAACCCACGCTGACACAGGGAGAACATGTCAGAGCACCTGGAGGAAACCCACACTGACACGGGGAGAACATGTCAGAGCACCTGGAGGAAACCCACGCTGACACAGGGAGAACATGTCAGAGCACCTGGAGGAAACCCACGCTGACACAGGGAGAACATGTAAACTCCACACAGAAGGGCTCCCCCACCCTGGGGTCTGAACCAAGAACACTCTTACTGTGAGGTGAAGGTGCTAACCACTGCACACCGTGTCACCTCATATACATTTAACATGACAACATTCACAGATCAAACAATTGACAAATTAAAACACAAAGACAGACAAAATCTGAGCAGGAAACAGGTCCATGTTTCATTGGACACTTTATTCACAAACTAAACCCAGAGACTGTCCTCAGGTCAGCGGGCGACTGTACAGGTGTGTTAGATCAGTATTAACTGGCTGCGCACGGCAGGTTCACATCATGTGACCTCACTTCCTGTCCAGTCCTCTATTGGTCCATTCATCCCTCCATCCTCCAGTCAAAGTGCTCAGCAGTTTGTCCTTCAGTGTGTGTGTGTGTGTGTGTGTGTGTGAGTCTGTCCGGATCAGGACCAGGACTCTCTGACCTGAAGTCTCAGCTGGTCCAGGACGGTGCGATTCTCGTGCGAGTCTTGAGAAAACACACCAAAACATTTACAGATACATTCAGAGACAACCAGGAGCTTCTTGTTAGTGAATAGCACCGCAGAGCCAACACATGAGGGGTTAAAAATAAACAACCTACGGACAGCAGAGCGTTCGGCTGAGCTCACACAGGAAGGAAGTGATCACCTCCGACACTCTGACACTGTCAGAATCAAACCGCTGTGATGATGTCATGGTGCAGGCTGTGTCTTCTTCCTCACATCGATAACTGGACGTCGCGTCACGTCACTATTGTTGGTGTCAGAATCAAAGAGCGAAGGCTGATCAAACGTTGCTGTTACCACCTACCTCCACTAATCAACCAATAGAAATGCAGCATTATATGATGCACTGATCAGCGCTAAACCCAAACAAATGGACGGACAGCAGCTCGCCATGGAGGCAAAATGCTCCTAAAGAAAAGTGGCAATCCAGTAACATGGTGTCCTCACTGAACGTAACCATGTGTGTGTGTCGGCTAAATGTAAACACGTGAGTGTGTTGGCTAAATGTAACCACGTGTGTGTGTCGTGTAGCGACGTAGTGCTTTTATTTTGAAAGAGACTGTATCAAACTGTACATTTCCTGTGAAAACAGAAGTGTATTTTGAAAACAGACAATGCATGTAACAGGCTGAAGTTGACACGGCGTCCCAGAACGTCAACAACCAACACACCCAGGGTACCGTGGACGTCATATGTTAATGACCAAAGGTGGTCATGTGACGAGGTCACAGTGAGGATGATGCACGATATCAACCTACAGACAGAAAACACCACCGGTTTGTGACACAGTGATTATCTGTTCTCTGAGTGTTGCTGAAAGGCATTGTGGGAGCTGTAGGAAATGACACAGTGAGGCAGCAGTCGTCAGGACAGAGCTGCACCAGAGACCCTTCAGCAGTGGGACCTTAGTGACAGTGTGAGTGTGTGAGAGGTGATCGAAACACTGACCCACATCTGATGTGTTTAATTCAAGTTTAAAAACAGAGGATCAGATCTGATCTGTGCTGTGTCACAAGATGAAGGCAGGAAGTCACATGACCACCAGACGTGTGCAAAGTCTGACGTCTGCTTCTTGTGTGAATCCAGTCGTGTTTTTCTACACTTCTATTTTACATCTCTGAAGTTACACGTCCTAACTTTAACCTTTCAGACCGGTCGGTGGATTCAGTGAAAAATCTGACAGTGGACAAGAACAAAGAAAGATCAGGTGAACAGGAAGTGACGGCATGTGCAAGAGGAAGGAGACTGGACGGTGGCGTGTGATGGTTTTCACCAGTAAGAAATAAAAAAGGTTTTTTCAGCTTTAACTGGAAACCATCGTCCCCCATGGAACATCAGTGACAGTGACATCATCATGTCGTCCTCTTTTGATTGGCTCACAAGACATGAAGAGAGTTCGAGTTCCCACAGTTTTTTTTGTTTTTAAATCCTTGTTTGTTCTTTTTTTGTTTTTCATCCAAAATGTTCTCGCCGTGGTCTCTTCAGGGCTGCCGTGTTGCATCGTGGGAACTGTAGTCAGTCACCAGGTTAGTACAACTGTAGCTCTGTTGTCAGTAAAGCCGTCGGTCACCACGGTAACCAACACTCTAGTTAGTGGAAGAAATAAAAAATAAAAAAACAAAAGACATGACATCACAGTTACATCAGCAGTGATGTCACAGTGTTTGACGTCTCAGTCTGAGTTTAGTAACAATAAGAACATGGCGGACTGGTCCTTTAACGTCTTTACAGACTGTTAGAAAGACTAAATATCAACATGTAAAACAAATATGGCCGCTGGGAGGTCACCTGAAGAGGAGGAAGAGGAGCAGGTGGAGGACAAGGAGGACGAGGAGGAGGAGGAGCAAGATTTGAGGTTTTGTTCTTTGTGAGTTTTACTCATTTTAATTGGACGATAAAACTAACCTTAGATTTTCAGCTTTTTAGACTGAATTGTGAAAAAACATTAAATTAACGATGAAGGTGGTGGGAAAGAAACTAAACAGGAAGTGTTGCTTTCTGTCGCTGTTTGTAAGGGGCGGAGCTCTGGAGACAGAAAAGTTAAACCTCAGTGGGTGGAGCCAAAAACAGTTTACTGATGATCTGATTTTCACTATGAACTCTGTTCAATCAGTTTAAAATGGCTTCTGGTGATTTAAACACAAACCAACAGCAGAGACAGAACGGCACTCACACCTGCGTCTGTCCAACACGTCCTCACTCACAGCTCTTACAAACATCAGTAAACTATAAAATGAAAGGAAGTTTTGCTGCTGAGAAAAAATAATTCATTCACATTCACCACGTTGATGACGTGAATCCATCAGCACACCTTAAATTTCACTGTGACAACTTTGACCATCACTTTAGTTTTTATATGACACACACTTTTAGTAATGACTTTAAAAATATAGATTAATTTGGAGCGGATTATGTGAAGGTCATATATTCTAATCCTCACTTCCTGTGGGCTACAGCAACACTAAACCCCTGAGCTTGCCTGAGAAGGACTAAATGCACAAAGCTGCTATTTTTAAATATCCCATGGAGAGAGACTCTCACTGCAGCCTGTTCTATTTTGTTGTGAAAATGTGGGCGTGCAGCCTCGTTCTGTGGACGATAAACCAGGTGCAGACTTCCATCTGTGTCACCGCTGATGAGGAAATACAGCGAGTGCTGGACGGAGCAGTGAGTGACAACAACCCCGCCCACATTTAAGAGGACTGTCTGAACACACCGAGGGTCTAGGTACCATGTCTGAAGGCTTACTGAAGGGTTCTACACTGAAAGGGTTTGGTGGAGATGAGGCTGATGTGCCTTGGTGGTCGTTAAAGGCCTCTGCACACTGAGTCCGTTTTTTCGGATGCGTTTTTTAATCTGTCATCTGAAAATAATCAACATGCACAGAAACCTTTCACACTGATTCTGATGAGTTTTATTTTTATTTATTTATTTTTTTATATACTTCATTAATCCCCCTGAGGGGAAATTCAGTTTTTTCACTCTTGTTGTCATTAACACACAGGACAGGTCCGAAAGACACACACATGCACAAACAGGACTATTTGTTCTACTTGTTATGAAAAATCGCCACACGAGAGAAAATGAAGACACATTTCCTCCTCTGCCTCTCTCCTCTGGAGTCACCTCTCTGACTGACATCACTTCCTCCCTGTTTTTCATTTGGCACCACAGCTGCATGAAGGTCCACATCCTCCTCCTCTTCACTGATTCAGTCAGACGTCTCTAACGACTCTGACGGAGGAGAAAAACACAGGAAATTGAACCTGTTCCAAAAATGTAATGAAAGACTAAAGATTGGGACTCAGTGTGCAAACATGATGAATACAATGTGAAGTCATATTTATTTTTAGTTGTGCGACAATTTTGGATGATAAAAAAGGACTCAGTGTGCAGAGGCCTTAACACTCGTGTCCAGTTTTGATCCGATCACCCAAGATGCATTTCAAGATGTGTCAAGAGGTGTAAACCAGCTAAATTACTGTCATGAATAAAGAGCTCAAACTTGTCATCTTAAATACGACATCATGGACACTCAGCTGAAGCTGAAACATGATCTTCGTCAGAAACACTCGGACTAAACGGACAGATTGTTTCACCTGTTTAAAGGAAATCAGACACAAAGTAATCAGATTACAGACTGAACCAGGAGTATCAGAGAAATATCTGACTCTTAAATGACCCTGCTGATGTTTAACAGTCGTCTGTGGACTTCATTCACCCTGCTCTCCTCCTCCTCCTCCTCATCCTCCTCTTCATCACCACCGTCCTCCTCTCTGTCCTCATCCTTGCCTCCTTCCTCCTTCCTCTGGCTCCTCTGCCCGAAGCTGCTCCTCCTCCTCCAGGGAGAAGATAGGAGCTGAGGAGGAGGAGCAGCTGATGAACAGTGTTTCGTCCCAGCGTCTCCCTGAGCAGCGGGGTGGGAGGGGCCAAGTGATGTCACAGAGATGGCAGAAGCTGACTGGCTAACCGGTTGAGACAGAGGGGGGCGTGGTTGTTGACTGGTGCCGCCGCCGCCTCGACGACCACGCCCTGCTCCTTCAGGCTGCTGTGGGTGGAGTCAGGAGCCTGCTCCGACCAATCAGGAGGCTCAGCCCTTCCAGCCGTCCCAGATCGGACCTCTGCAGCGACACACAGAGACCACAGTGAGAGTGTGTGTGTGTGTGTGTGTGTGTGTGTGAGAGTTACAGACAGAAAGACAGACAGACAGACAGTGAGCTGCCAACATGCAGCAGCAGAAGCATCCTCAGGTTTCCACTAAGAATCTGGGGCCAGTTGCACAAAACACCTTAAGGTTTTCCTTAAAGTCCTAGTTAAGGTTTCCTCAAAATAAAATCAGTTGCACAAAACACCCTTAAATCTTCACCTTAAGGTTCCCTTAAAATGTTCACTTAAGTATTTAAGGTTTTCTCCTGGTCTTGGTCTGAAACTTAAGGAATCCCTCGACCGCTGTACAAAAGCCCTTAGAAACCAAAGCAAGGTTAAAAAAGCCCTTAAGGTCCCTCTGACTCTGTCTTAACTGCAACATGACGAGTTCATGGTGATAAATAAAGAGTTCTGAGACCACGAGAACCACTTCTGATTTTAACCTTTAGATTCGACTGAATTCATTTTCTGTTTCCTGAGGATCAGATTTACTTTGTAGTTTGTTCTTTCTCTGATTGTATTCCTCCAGAAGTTTAATTTTTTCGTTAATTAAGGAAACCCTCTGTGCAACTGTGTAAGTCCCTCAGCTAAGGAGAAATTAAGCCTTAAGTGTCATACTTAGGAGAAAACTTAAGGTGTTTTGTGGTCCCAGGTTTGTTGAGGCTCAGATGCTAACAGCAGCATGCTAACATGTTTAGCATTGTAAACCGTGTTTCCCATGATCACCACCAAACCAAAGAAGAAGAGTCTGAACATGTCAGAGATGACATCATTGATCTGCAGTTGTCACTCAACCTACAGCAGGAAACAGCACTTCAAAATAAAAGCTCTGTGCCGGAAATTCACTGTACTTCAAAATGAAGTTGTTGGGGTTTTTTTTGCTATTTTTTTTGGTTTGTTTTGTTTTTACAAACTTGACATGGTTGTGAGTCACATGTTCAGAATGAACCTATGACCCTCCCGTGTGGAAAAGGGAAATCACAGTGAGCAGCGACCCAGCTCGCTAACATTAGCTGGTGGGATTAGCCCTCTCCTGCAGCCGACAGTTTGTTTAGCACCAAAGGAAATCATTCGCCAATTGATTTTAAGTTCTGACGACGACACATGAAGCGAACAGTTTATAACATGGCTCAGACACACATGAAACAACCTTTAACATGTCACTGACAGTTCATCATGAACAGCAGGTCGTAATCATGCTGCTCTGAGTCCCAACAGTACATATATTCCTTTGGTGCAGTGTATGATGACATATCGTGATTGGTTAGAGACCGCTGGTTATACACCACTTTTCACAATGCATTGTGGGATACTTTGAGTCCACTGTATCCACCTTATTTTTCACGTAAACACAGAAGCAAAACAGAACGCAGCCAGATTCCGTTTTTTTGTGCGACACTTCCAGTCCAGCACTCTTACCACTGTGTAAATGGGAATCGCCTTGTTGTTTACCTTGCTGAGTTTAGCTATATATATGTATATATCACATTTTTCACGTCACTGTATCACCGTTTAGACTAATCTGATGTTTGTAAAGTCTATAAACACAATGACTGAACAAACATTAGTATTTTCTCTGTGTGTAGTTAATAACATGGTTATCGTAGATTAGCTGGGCTAACCGTTAGCTGTTAGCCGTTAGCCGTGTCTGTAAAAACTCACTAAACTCACAAAGTGGCCCGTGAAAAAAATATTTTCTCCAGCGGATGTCTTAGTTACAACATGATTGAGCTAACTGGAGTAGTTTCATGTCGTATCCGACAACGGGAGGCTTTTAACGGATGACGATCCTGATGTTAGCTTTGCTGCTAGTGTTAACGTTAGCTGTCCCTGTCAGCTGCAGCCACTGATGCTTTCTAGACATCGTGATTTCCCAAAACTGAATAAATACCACACATAGCAACACAAAACTGCTTTGCTAGCTCAATCATGTTGTAACGGCTGGATGGTTGATGCGTACATGCTGATTCAGGTGCTATCAGAGCCGATCCGCGCATCACTATGGCTTAATGATCAACTCAGTCAATTAAAACAACCCGTCCTGTGTTAGGAGTGTATGTCGCTGACAGAAAGAAAGAAAAGGGAAAAAAGATAGAAAAGCAGCGTACACCTCACATATTTATTTCTCACAGTTGTGCACACGTGTGGCTGGCATGCAGAAGCACCGTCTGTGTGTCTGTGTGTCTGTGTGTCGAGGGTGTGAGCCGCAGCTTCAGCTGCTCAGGTAGAGAGGCTGTGTAGCCCGGTGTGTTTTTTCACTGATTCGGTTCTGCAGGTTCTCTGCTGGTACACTGGAGACGGGGATCAAGCAGTTTGTCTCACTCGGGATAGATTGTGCTTTTTTGGTTCATAGTTTATGATTGACGTGCGATTTATTCGCGTTTAGGGGGAATAAATTTCCGTTATAACGGAAACGTGGGCACAGTTATCTAACGTTATACAAAATACACAGACTAACTAACTAACTAACTAACTAACTAACTGATTGACTAACATAAACAACTGAAAATTGAAAAAAAATTAGCTTGCACCGTTAGCTCCGGTAAGGGAAAGCATGAGGGAAAGTGGCTGACCGGAAGTTACGCACAAAAAAACGGAAGTTGGTCACTATTTACTTCCGTGTTTGAAAATAAGGTGGATAGGGTAGAATAATTCACACTGTACGTTCAGACAGAAATACGATATGGTGAATTTACTATAGACAGAGCAGTGACGCAGACGCAGACAGACAGGCAGACAGACAGGCAGACAGACAGACAGACAGACAGACAGGCAGACAGACAGACAGACAGACAGACAGACAGACAGACAGACAGGCAGTTAGGCAGACAGACGGACAGACGGACAGATAGACACAGACAGACGGACAGATAGACACAGACAGACGGACAGGCAGACAGACAGACAGACAGGCAGTTAGGCAGGCAGTTAGGCAGGCAGTTAGACAGACAGACAGACAGACACACAGACAGACAGACAGTTAGGCAGGCAGTTAGACAGACAGACAGACAGACACACAGACAGACAGACAGTTAGGCAGGCAGATGGACAGACAGGTTTAGTATTACAGCAGTAAGCAGAACGCAGCCAGCTGATCTACAGAGAGGAAGACTCACAGGGTTCGAGACGATGAAGGTTTCTTGATTCGCGGCCACTTCCTCCTCTCAAACACCCTGATGCAACAAACACACACCGTGTTACACACACACACACACACACACACACACACACACACATGTACAGACACACACTCTGCTCCGTCACCAGCAGCCATCAGCTCCATCAGGAAGTCATGCAGCATTCAGAGCAGGAGAACACACTGTCACTGTGTGTGTGTGTGTGTGTGTGTGTGTGTGTGTGTACCTGTAGTCATCGAAGCTGCCGTGTTCCCGCCCCCCTGCTGAAGAGACACTCTGATTGGTTAGTGAGCAGAGGCCACCTGTGTCTCCACCTCAGAGAGATGTAATTTGACATCTTAATTTCCTGACTTTACTTTTCACGTCAACGCACCATCACTGACTGACAGGGTGCAAAGGATTCTGGGATATAGAGGCTGTGTCAATGAGCAAGCTGTGTGTGGACCTGCAGACAGGTCACTGACTGTTATGTGATAGGTATGTGACACGTCAGTGGCAGGTATGTGAAACGTCAGTGAAAGGTATGTGACACGTCAGTGACAGGTATGTGACAGGTATGTGAAATGTCAGTGACAGGTACAGTACAGGCCAAAAGTTTGGACACACCTTCTCATTCAATGCGTTTTCTTTATTTTCATGACTATTTACATTGTAGATTCTCACTGAAGGCATCAAAACTATGAATGAACACATGTGGAGTTATGTACTTAACAAAAAAAGGTGAAATAACTGAAAACATGTTTTATATTCTAGTTTCTTCAAAATAGCCACCCTTTGCTCTGATTACTGCTTTGCACACTCTTGGCATTCTCTCCATGAGCTTCAAGAGGTAGTCGTGTGTGTGTGTGTGTGTGTGTGTTTGTGTGTGTGTGTGTGTGTGTGTGTGTGTGTGAGTGTCCTACCCTGCTCCAGTGAGCGTGTGCGGGGGTTACACTGCTTGTGTCCCCTGCAGCCTCGGAGCTCCATCAGCTGAACGTGGAGCTGGTTGAGGACGGTGCGGTCTAAAGAGCTGACGGCGTTTATCAGCTGGAGACACACAGAGGTCAGAGGTCAGAGGGGACGGGGTTAGGGACAGAGAAATGTGCAGAGCTGTGACTGATGTCTGAACCACAGGACAGATTCATAGATGTTGAGCAGGCGACATGTTTCAGGTGATCTCCAACAGATCCGTCAAATTTACTCAGTCTGTGTCTCTCCAAGGATTCTCACAGATTCAATGTGTTGTCAAGTTCTGCTGCAGACATGACAAGTTAAGTTGGTTTATACCATGGTGTGGGTCTATACTGGATTCTGACTGGCTGCAGGGTGTCTGTTAAAAACAGATAATGGACACCTAGTTCTGGTGAAACTGTCTGTTTACTGTTCTAAGTTATTGCACCGCCCACATAACAGTATCACTGTCTGTAATCTGATTACAGTTCATTTCCAACACTGAGAGTAACATGAGTCCTTCAGTCCTGTGAGCACCACAGGATGGAGACTGTAGCGCCCCCTGCAGGTTGGACAGTATAAGTGTGAGCGGGATAATGGCCTCTGCTGTGCGTCAGATGGTACAGGCCTCCACGTCAGCCATTAGAAAGTGATAATGGACGCTTCATCGAGCATCACCCCTTCTCTTAAAAAGCAAACCTGCTGTGGAAATATAATCTGTGATCAAACAGTCTCCACTCAAGGTTACGAGTTTTTGTCCAGAGGTTTCGACCATGAGATGTAAATAAAAGCCAGTAAGTGAAACTACCAAGTGATTCCGATATTTTGTTTTTAATCTCTTCTTTGAGCTCAACCTCAAATCATACGCCTGAGTGTGTGTGTGTGTGTGTGTGTGTGTGTGTACCTGGTATGGGTCTGTGTTGAGGTCAAAGTACTCCAGGAAGCCGGTGGCGAACTCACAGAACAGGAAGTTGTGGGTCTCGTTGATCGTCCTCAGACACCAGTAGGTGTTGTTGTTGGCGCTGGTGCAGGCACAGAACGGACCCACTGCAACACACACACACACACACACACATTATATATTAATATCACACACTGTGTCTCTGGTAAAACAGCATATTGAATACAAATATCAAATGTGTGTGTTTGTGTGTGTGTGTGTGTGTGCGTGTGTGTGTGTCGTACATGTCCAGTATGGTGCAGTGTGCCAGTGCTGGTTGTCGTGTGTGAAGCAGGTGAGTCCGGGCATTGAACATGTGTCGTTGTTTCTGATCCTCTTGATCATCTTCCTCATTTTCTTCCTCCTCTTCTGCTCCTTTAGAAGCCACGCCTTCTTGTCCCGAGCTCCGCCCTTCCTGCACACACACACACACACACACACACACACACACACACATCATCATCATCACCATCAGCAAATACACATGGAACCCTCTGACATGTGATTTCCTGTTGGAGTTCCTCAGGGTTTTGTTTTGGGTCTTCTAGTCTTGGTTAGTGAACGATTGAGCTTCTGTTTGTATTTCTACACTTTCATGTCTCCAATGAATCAACCTGTGATTCTGCGCTCTGTGAGAACTTGTCTTCAGTTTCCTCATCCTTCAGTTTGTCACAAACATTCAACATCAACACATCTGGAGATACAGAAAATCTACTGCTTGTTAAAACAAGTACAAGTTCCCTCTGAGACTGAGCAGAAGTATGAAAAAGCATAAAAGGGAAATACTCAAATAAAGTACTTGGAATTTGTACGTCAGTACTTTACTTGAGTAAATGAACCTTCTGTCACAGCCAATCAGCTGCATTCACTGTCTGCTCCTTGTTCATAGTGTTTGAGTCTAACCTGAACGGGTGTCCTCCTCCTCTGAACCTCAGCTTGTTCTTCAGTTTGGATTTATACCTGAAACACACACACACACACACACACACACACACACACACACACAGCAGCTCAGGATTATTCTCCTGGCTCCTTCTTCGTTGGTATCTGACTGTGGTGTGTTTGTGCCTCATGTCTGACTTACAGATATTTATTACAGTCACACTGGAGGGGGCGGGCCTTCTTCAGGTGACCTCTGACCTCTCTCAGGTTCTTTATCTTGGTCTGCAGCGTCTCAATCTGACACACAGAGAAAACGTTCAGTCACAGGTGAAACAGAGACAGTTAGTGATGGAATATAACTGAGTACAGAGGACACACCTGAGGCACCTGTACTTTACTGAGTCTTTGGTTTTCATACTTTTTTACTTCTCTTGTTCTACATTTATCTGACAGATTAAGATTTTTATACACAAAACAATATTAATAATTGTAATGTAAAATTAATAATGTTAGTAACTGTAATGTATCTGTTGAGGCTAAACAACACTTTGGGCTCACTGTGAGGAACATCTCTCCATATTCCTACTGTTTTTACAAAGCAACCAATCGATTGATGGATCAACAATAATCAGCAGATGAGTCCATAATGAAAACAATCAGTAGTTAACAGTTAAAATGAGCTCCACCCCAAACAACTACAACAGTTTTAACATGTTTAATACTTTAAAAACATGTTACTGATTCTACTGAAGTAACCTGTACCAGATTACTGCAGTAAAGTATCTGAGTACTTCCTCCAGCTCTTGGTTGAGTGTTACCTCGTGGTCGATGTGCAGCTTGTGATCCTTCCAGGCCTGCAGAGACTGATAGACTCCTGTATCACACCTGACTGTGGCATTGGACAGGATGGAACATCTGCAGGTGCATAACATTATCATTAACTGTGATAATTAACACATAAACTATATAAACAGCAGTCTGTAACAGGAGCTGACATTTATGTTTTAATGACAGAGCAGAATTCACACTTTCCCCTGAAGGTGTTAGTTTATGATAGAAAGATTATTTTTCTTAATAATTCACAGCTGCTGAAGGGACGTGTCACAGCCTTCGTCCATCTGTGCTGATGATTCTCATTTACAGGAGTTAGTCAGGATTCATCAGCTGTTACACAACGTTTCCTCCAGACCACACACTGGAGTTAAGTTACAGCTTCTCCATAACATACTCATTAAAGGCTGCAGCCAAGAGTTTAAGGACACTTAAAGTCCATCTGTGTAAAGCTGATTCTGACATGTCCTGAAACAGAGAAACCTTCTGACACCACCTTTGGAACAAAGCTGCATTTGTTGCCCACCAGTGGTGAGCTGTGAAACCATAGTTTCTTTTACTGAGTTCAAGTATGTATTAATTTACACACTGTGTTATCCACAATAATGAATCAGAGCAGGCACTGTGTAGAGACCACAACGTATCAGTGGGTCACTCCTGGTAACCAACACCAGGGTTGTAGATCTGAAATGAACACACTGAGGTTGAATCCTCCATATTTGTGTCTGGGATTTTGGAGGATGTAGAAACCTTACTGGGAGAAATCCAGTGAAAACCATTCACATCTTTTAGGCTCATTCCAAAACTTCTGTCTGGTTCAGACTTCATGACGTTTGTCACCAGTCTCTGTGTCACATCAGGTGATGGTGATGGTGATGGTGGAGTTGTAAAATCGTGCCGTGACTTGACCGGCAGACATGACAGACTATACGTTGGTGCACGACCAATCATCACTGGTCATCTTTCACGACGTGTGTGATGTCATCAAATTATTATTGTCCTATTTTTATTATTATTACTATTATTTCAGTCACTGTGTCTGTACATGTTCCAGTTGACCTGTTACTGTAACAACAGAAAAAGTGCCAGCAGGTGGGCAGAGCTACATTTGAATCACTGAATCCTCCGCAGGAAGTTCCTGCAAATGTTTTACAATAAAAGCCTGTTTAGAAAGTGAAGGGATTCTGGCTGCTGAAATGATAATGGGGCTTTTTAATTTGAAACAGAAACAGGAAGTGTTGCGTTTGATTAAACTAAAACCAGAATGATAAATGGTGTGGTGTGTTTGAGATGCGGCTTGTAGCCTCTGCAGCTGTGCTGAGTAAAGGCCCAGACACTATCTGTGGGTTTGATTCCTTTATATCCTCCATTATGAAGAAAGAACATTCTTTGCTAGCTTGATTTTTTTTACTCTGTGTGCTAACGTCCCTACAGGAAATATCTAAAAGGCTGGGCTGTTGTTGTACAGTTTCCACGGCAACAGATCACTCTATGTTCCTATTGGTCAAAGTGACGGCTGTGATGGGAGAAGTTGTGGAAGACAAAAAGAAAATCAAACATGCTAGACTTTCTGTCAGGACGTTGTGGGGCGTCCCAGACGTGGTGTCAGTTGTCGTCTACTATGACACACTACACCAGATGAAACCATGGATTATCATGTACGACACTGTTTGTCATTCACAATCCGAGCCGACACCGTACGACGCTGCGTCGAGCTGTAAATCAGGCTGATATCATGAAGTCTGAACCCGACATCAGAAGCTGTAGTTCTCCAAATAAAATACAACAGTGAAGCTTCAGTTCACAGATCTGTGACTGTTTTTGATTACATAGAAATAAAGATGAAGTTCCAGAGTTCAGTTTGTATGATGTAGAACTTTAGATGGATTTCCTTTAAAGAAGTGTAGCTTCAAATAAAACTGTCAGGAAATACATTTTATCATCAAAATTCATTCATTCATTTTTCTACGAATATTTTATAAAATCACAGCTAACATGCTATCAGCCTTTTGAAACTCTGATGCGCACACACACACACATACACACACTCACCTGTGTGTGACCTTGTGGGAGTTGGGCGGGGCCACGACGTTGGGAACTCCTCCCATCCCGCTGAACTCATCCTCAGGCTCGTCTGTTATTGACTGAGCCCAGTTGGCCCCGCCCCCCAAGCTGTGGTTACCGGGATAACTGTTGGTCATGGACACGGAGCGGCTGTAACGGTTCCTGGAGTAACTCTTCAGGGCTTTAAACTCTGTGACACACACACACACACACACACACACACACACACAGAAGGATCAACAACACACAGATGTTTCTGAACGATGTCCGTCAGGCTCTGAGAGACTCATGAGAGAATAAAAAGGTGATGTGCAGTTCTGATGTCAGACACTAGAGGTCAGCATCACGTCAGGAAACCAGGTGAGCCGACTGAAACACTGCAGAGGAACAAGAGGTGTTTCCTCCTGGAGACAGAAACTCAAACACACTGGAATAAAATATAATTCTGTGAGTTTGTTTCTATTGTAGTTAAATGTTCACACTTACAGCCTCAGCACACTGACGATATATTTTATTTTAATGTTTTATATGTTAAGCACTGATGTTAAACACAGTAGCACAACGCACATATTATTTCTATTCTAATTTATTTTATTACTTTATATTTACATACTTTTATTTCATACACTAATTGTTACTTATTATAATTCTCTTATGATCTATTTTTTACATCAGAGCAACTGTAACGACTCATAACTTCCCCTCAGGGATCAATACAGTGATTATTAATGATCCACTGCGTGTTTAAACTCAAACTTCAATAGTAAGTAAACACAGTGACGTGTTCCTGGGAGGTAACCATGGTAACGATGACAGGCACTGTCTGGGTGTTTATCAGAGCTGCTGATTAGATTAATCAAGAACAGAAAATTAACTGGCGACTAATTTGACAGTCAAATAACAGTTTAAGTCATTTTCAAGCAAAAATCAAAAACACTTGATGGTTTCATGAAGTGAGAGTTTGATTCTTTTATTTGTCGTATGATAATAAGCTGATAATAAGCAGATTTTGGATTTTTGGACCGTTGGTCAGATAAAACAGACCATTGCAGGAACATCACCATGAGCTCTGCGGGACAGTTTCATGATATTCTGAACCTTTTTATTTTCATAACAATTAATCAGTTAATTAAGAAAATAATGGGCAGATTATTGGATAAAGAAAATAATGATTAGCTGCAGCCTCAGGGACATTTTTAAATCGTCTATAAAGTGATCCTAAGTGCTGTATCGCAGTTAACTGGACATGCTCGAGTGTCTTGAAGTGGTTTCACCTCTGATCCAGGAAGCTTCATCAGTTCTGGGTTGGTTTTAACTGAACTGAAGATGCTTCCTGGATCAGAGGTGAAACGACCTCAAAACACTTCAGCGTGACCTTTAGCGAATCTTCACCAACATGATCTATAGAGTCCTAATGAGTTAGCATGTTAGCACTTCCTGTTCCCTGGTGACTTTCACCATCCACTCTCCGTCAGTAAATACTCCACTGTCGGTTTCTGAGAGGATGAGACTACAGATCGCCATCACGCCCAACACGACATCACAGCTTCACTGTGGTGGTGACGTTAAGTCGTGACCGTGGTGTAGTTTGTTTACAGCCTAACATTAGCTGTTTACTTTTTACCTGAAAGCAAACGTTTGCTTATTTGCTGCAATGATCCAAAATCTAAAAGAGACATCCTGTTGGCTGTTTGATGAGGGAACCAGGGCGACGCTAACCTCAGGGTCGGACTACAGAAAAACATCATCCCTGGAGTGCTCTATATCTCATGGCACAAATGAATTTGGGGCGTGTCCATCTCCTCCTTTGCCAGTTACATGGTGCATAATCTGGGCACAGAGTCAGGAGCATGAGGCAAAGGGTGTGTGTCGTCTTCCATTTCCTTTAGAAGCCAGGTGTGTCTGCACCTGATGCTTTTTACATGGAGGACTCTGCAGATTGGAGCAGCGAGCAGTTTTCTGCTGAGAGTGCAGCGGTCAGCGCGGTGATGTCACTGCAGCAAATATTCAAACTAAGACCTGTAGTTATGAACCTGACAGAGGAAAGAGAGCTAAACTTTTAGCTTCTGAAATAATCAACACAGTGACGCTGTGTATACATGTGCACAGTGTGTCTCTGCAGCTCTGCTCTGATCTCTGCTGCGTTCACATTTTACACACTGTCACTGCAGCAAATATTCAGACTAAGACCTGTAGTTATAAACTTTACAGAGGAAACAGAACTAAACTTTCTGTGCTGTGAAAATGACTGTGTAGGTCTGAAACTAGAAATGGCTGCTGTGATGACAGTTAGCAGCGGGTGCGTTTAACAGTCTCTGCTGCCCCCTGCTGGACTGAACCATCAACACTCACTCTTCTTGGAGAAGAAAGGTTTCTTGTTGAACGGTCTCATCGTGGAGGGCCGCGGGCTCAGAGGTCGGAGGTCACGCAGGCTGCAGTCACAGGCATCAAGGTTGCGGTGGTACAGCTGAGACTTGATGCTGAGTGGACGCTGACGACTGGCCATGCCCCTCTGGAAGTTCTTAGCCCCTCCCCCTTCATTTTTACATTTGAAGAGGCGGAGTTTACCCGTGGCATCCTCCACACACTGCCACTTCTACACACAAACACACAGACACATACACACACATTAAATGTAGTGTCAGATCTGTGTAACAGTATTAACAGTCAGCTGATGGATGAGCCGCTGATGAAATGATGACTTCAGGACTGATCAGACGCTGAGCTCCATTTGATTTAAATTTATCAGATAATAATAAATCTGACCTGATTCTTTTTACAGAAACTAAACTGCAGTGTGAGTGAGTTTTACTTGTGCGCTGTGGGCGGAACAGAAAACACTGTGGTCAGTCTATGTGGCTATAAACTGTGGCAGCTGATATCGAGGTTTGAGGGAAAAATGGATGCAGCACAGTATGGTGACATTTAGCGTGGCAATATTGTATCGACACACGGATGCCAAGTATCGATCGTTTATTATAAACATTATTCATTTTTGCAAATCCACATTTGAATCCAACTTTTGATCCTAGAATAATAGAATTAGTTGGTTTTATTTGGAGGTTTGTTTCCTGGTGAGGTCAGCAGAGGTCTCAGTCAGAAGTTCATCAGAACAAAGATGGCGGCACAGAGAGAAATCAGAAATGTGCCGTCGGTGTTTAAATCAAACATCTGGACTTATTTTGGATGTTTTACCATAGACAGAGGACTTGGACATGACACGTGATTTACAGCTGTGTCATTTGAGAATAAAACACGAACATGAGGGCTGACCTCACAGGCCACCATCCAGAGATAGCGTTAGCCGCTGATGGCCAAGCTAACACTAAAAATCACCCAACACTGGACACACTGAGCTCAACACAGCTACATTCAGAAAACAACACAGTCCATCACCTACTTCCTGTGAAAGATCTGAGTCCATTAGGGATGGGCAGCGCAAGCAAAAACACTATTCGAAAATTGTGGCAACTATTCGACAATTTTTTGAATAATCTGAATTGCATGTCAAATAAAGGGGCAAATAAGACGGCACGGTCGCATTAAAAAATTGATTTTTCAAAAATAAAATGACTATTCGAAATTCGAAAATCGTGACCCATCCCAAGCATCCATACAGCGCCACTGAAGCCAAGGCTTTTGTTGCATGCTAAAAACACGTGAACACAGGTATGTGACCCCCACTGCAGACCTCCTCTAGCAGATGACACTTCTAACATGGGTGTTGTCATTCAGTTAGCAGGATACCTGCATGTGACGTGTTTTTCTCAGGTCTTAATCTGTCCTCTGAGAGGGCGTTAAACCTGCCCATAGTTCAGTCTGTCAGGATCTGCAGGTGTTACGACGCTGTTGCTCAGTGTCACACTCTGCTGCAATACAAATGATTAAAGATGAACAGACTGAAAACTTTATCTGAGGCATCGGAACTATTTTCTGAGAGGGGGGGCGGGATTTTTGTTGGGAGGGGCGGGGGAAGCACGCACACTTATCAATGATTAAGGATTTGATTTGAAGTAATTTTATAATAACATGCAGATATAAGAGAACTAGAATAGATGAACAAGGCATCTTAATTGTTAAGAAAATGAAACTTTGATAACTAAATCAAGCCATTTAAGGAACATAACATTATTTGTAACCTTGAATGAAAAAAAAGAAAAGTCTGCGCTCCTGACTCAGGGCTTTCATGCATTTCCAAAAGTGGACCTTCTCTCAGTTGACCTACTGATGAAGATTTTAAGCAGGGTCGAGACATCGCTTTCATCCATAAGGTCACTGTGAGAGTTAATAATGACCAAATGTGTTAGTCTCTCCTGCGTCATGGTGTTGCGCAGCCAGGTTTCCAGCCTGCGCAAGGCTCAGAAAGAGCGCTCGGATGCCGTGACAGATATGGGCAGGGCGGATTTGGGGTTGCAAGGTTTGCAGGATGGACACAACATCCTGGATGCCAAGGCTACTACTACTGTATGTAGTCAGGCAGGCTGCATATCACATCAAAAGCATAGATTTATGCATTAATGATATGAAAGAGATAAATGTAAGTCAGACAAATTGAGTTTAAATTCAGATTCTTTATTTTTTTTAAAGCGTAATGCAGTGGTTAGGGAGGCTGGGGTGCGAGTTCCAACGTCTATGATCTGAGGAGGTCAAACTGAGGCTGACTAAGTTTTCCTTTGGGGAAAAAAGGTCATAAATCACAATAATATTATATCATGGGTCCTCTGGTGATTCTCAGCCCTACTATTATCCAACCTGTTATTAAGACTTATTAAGACAAACAAGGACAGAAACAATCAATATGTCCTACAGACAGGTGGATCCTGCTCACCTCTCTTCACCTGGCTGAAAATCAGAGAACCTTCTGATGTCAAAGTTCAGTTAAACTTAACAAAGTTGGATTAATTCATGACTTGAAGTGTCTCGTTCTTGAGCACCTGTGGGATGAACTGAACGCAGCCTGTAAAGAGAGGAGCATCAGCCCTCCACCATGACTGACACCTGCAGAATATCAGCAGGTCAGACTCTGCTCTGAGCATCAGTTTGTGTTGTGACTGTGCAGCAGTTGATTATCAGGAGCTGAACACGCTCCTACTTTCGCACTTCGTTATTACAGAGTGACAAATGCCTGAGTTGTTAATCACACACACTGCGAGTCTTCTCAGGCTGTTTATCAGAGCCATCCAGCAGCCGGCAGACACTGTTGCTAAGAGACTAATCAACTGGCTAAAGGGATTTTTCGACAAGTGTAATTAACTTCAAACAAGCGTGAACACACACGCACAAACACACACAGCAACATGGCTCTCTAAAAGTTTCCATCTTGATTCTCTTCACATCTCGTCTCTTTGATTCGGCAGCTTTGGGTCCTTTGTGTTGTGTTGCTGCGAGTCATTACTGCTGTTATTGTATCTGTCAGCTTTGTAGAGACGACATCTGGTTTTCATCTCTGAGACAGAATCTCTCTCTGTTCTACTCTGCTTTCTTTCAACTATCTCTGTTTGTTACAGGAACAGGAACCATCACTGTTTCATCTGCATTTATTCTGTTCTCAGGACTGGTCTGATTCCACAAAAGCTCTAGATCATTCTGGGAAGGAAAATGTGCTCATGTTTAACATCTGAACAGAGAGCAGGAATTTAATGTAAAGTATCAATAATTATCAGAGTTCGATCAGATCAACTGGATCAGACATAAAGTGACCCAAAGTAACACGACTGAGTGATATGGTCAGCAGGTGTAGCAGAGGAGGAAAGGATCAGGATCAGGAGCAAAGTGAGTGAAGAGAGGGGTGAATAAAGTCATGGGACCAGATGTACAGTAACACAATCTGTAGTAAAGTGACAGAACTGAGAAGAATACGATCAGGATGGGAGTAAACTAAGAAGATCAGAAGTGAAGAAGGATTAGGACAAGGAGTACATTAATAAGATCAGGAATAAAGTAATGGGATTGTAAGGTTTAGGATCAGAAGTAAAGCACCTGGATTGGGAGCAAAGTAATAAGACTGGGAGTAAAGGAGCAGGATCAGAAGTAAAGTAATGTGATTGGGATTAGAAGGAAACACTGTGATGGGAGTAAAACACTGTGATGGGAGTGAAACACTGCGATGGGAGTAAAACACTGTGATGGGAGTAAAACACTGTGATGGGAGTGAAACACTGCGATGGGAGTAAAACACTGTAATTGGAGTAAAACACTGTGATGGGGAGTAAAACACTGTGATGGGAGTAAAGTGATGAGAGTACAGTATGTGTTTCAGGAGTAGGACAGATAACTGTGGTCTAAGACTCCAGGTGTTTCTGTACCTGTCCAGTCTGCTGACAGGCCGTCTGGTACTCGGCTCTCTGACACAGGTCTTTTACTCGTTGGTGTTTGGGCAGGAAGTTCTCCTCCTGCGACACTTCTTTTCCCTCCACACGCTGGTGCAGGAGCTTCCTGTTAACACGGCGTGTAATAAAATCAGATCAGCTCTGATGTCATAACACTCTGTTAACAGGTAAATTCAGGTGTAAATAAACTGTGTCATAGCGATGTCATGTGTTTACCCTCTCTCCACCAGGAAGGAGTCTCTCCACACCTTTGGCTTCCTGTTCAGCTGGAACCTGAAAACAGCAGAGGAAATGTGATCATCATTCATTCTCATGAATTCATTATTAATAAGAGAGTCATCACCTCCACCTTCATCCCTCCTCTTTTTATTTCTACCTTTTTAATGCTTTAACTCCTGAAACTCGACAGGAAGTTGTTGTTTGGTGACTCAGGCTCAGAGCTGCTGAACGCTGATGTAAAATCACTGTTCAACCAGAGTTGGATAAAAAATTCAGGCTGTGGTTTCAGCTCCTCTCAGCACCACATGTAAAATGATATTATATTCATAACACACTCTGCCTCCATCTGCTTTCTATTCTGGGATGTTTGTAACTTTGACTTTCAGGAATAATATTTGGATTTTTCCTGCCACAGTTAAAAGAAGAACCAGAGTGGAAACAACTACAGGACTTTTTCCAGTTCAGGAGACACTGAAAGACTGAAAAAATAAAACACTGTGCAGAAGTGAAAGTAAAATTCCCTCAGACATCACTGAGACCAACAACGTGCTGCACCCCCCCCACCGCCCCTGGTGCTGCAGTGAGTTTCTGTGGCAGCAGGACACAAATATTCTGTTTTCATAAGAGAAATATAGAATTTGTGTTAGACATGGGTTAGTCACATCCTCTGTTTGTGTTTGTGTGTTTGTGTCTGTGTTTGTTTGTGTTTGTGTGTGTTTGTGTGTCTGTGTTTGTGTTTGTTTGTGTTTGTGTCTATGTGTTTGTGTCGACCTCCTGACCTTTATGTTTTCCTTCGTGGATACTTTGATCATTACTGATATTAATGAAAATCTAAATCTCTTCAGGTGAAGCAGACGGCAGGTGGTGTCTGATCACTGTGTGTGATGGACGAGCACTCAGGTGTTTGCCTCAGTGACTCTCTGCTCTGACCTCTGACCTCTGTCTGTCACTGCGGTGATGCCACATGAAGCTGCCTTCAATCAGTCTTTTTCTCACATGTGCTGAAACAGGAACCTTCTGATTTACTTTGATCAGCACTCAAATAAAAGCACTGAGAATGTATGTCCATATGTGTGTATGTGAGTGTGTGAGAGTGTGCGTGTGTGTGTGTGTGTGAGTGTACCTGTTGGCAGGTTTGTCGGTGTCCAGCAGAGACAGGATCGACTTCCCGTCCATGTCTGGCGGAGTGTCGAGGCCGGCGATGTCCAGGATGGTCGGAGCCAGATCGATGTTCAGGACCATGTGATGGTTACTGACACACACACACACACACACACACACACTCATTCATAACATAAACATGATATAACATAAAGGGACGGGTTGTTATTTATGATGGGGGAGGCGGGGTGCAAAAAGGAGGAGACATCAAATAATTTTTTCAGCACTGTGGAGGGGCTTCTGTTTTTTATTGTGGCTGAGGGGCTTACAGATATAAAAGGTATTTTGGTTTATTTCACTGCCACCTTTTAAAGAAAACATGTTTTCCAAATATTGACAATTTAATTTTGGTCATTTTGGCAACAATGACACAATGTCTCACAGCCACACATTGTAAAAATGTAAATTATTGTTGGATTTTCAAATTCCTGACGGTCCTTGAACACATCATGTATGATGAACATTTCCATCTGGGAAAAAAACACCTCATAACCACATGTGACATTAAAACTGACATTTCATCAGCGTCACTTTATTCTACGTCTCATTTAAAATTTGTCCAAAAATAAAGTGTTCGTACGACGAGAGTGAAAAACTGAGACTTTTTTCAACATCCGGATCTCAGCTTCACACTTCCTGTTAAAGTCTGATTTCATTTGATGTGATGGTGTTTAATAATGTGATAACGTGTGTGTGCAGCTCTGAACTCATGATCACCTCGTGGAACAGCTCGCCTCTGTAATCTACTTTAGCAGGACACACACACGCACACACACACACACACACACACACGGACTAAAAAGTGTGTCACATATTTTATTCCAGTGTTTCTCTGATCCACAGACTCAGTTTTATTTTTAGATATTTGAATCTTTAAACGCTGCGTTAAAGCCACAGACAGACAGAGAGACAGAAAGACAGACAGACAGACAGGCGGACTGTCCCTTTACAGAGGCGTTACAGTGACTGTGCTCAGGGACTGGTGTATCTTTCAGATGATGATGTTTGATGTTTGAAAGTCAAAAGTTTTTCACTCTCGTCCTACAAACACTTTATTTTTGGAGCAATTTAAACAAGATGTAGAATAAAGTGATTTCACTGAAATATCACTGTTTTAACACCACATGAAGTTATGGTGTTTTTTTCTGATGGAAGTGTTCGTCACACATTTTGTGTTCAAGGACCGTCAGAAATTAAAAGAAAGGTTCGTACATCCTGGTCTCAATCTGAAGTCGTCAAATACTGGCACTTTGTCAGTGACCTCTAGTGTCACTGGCAGAAATGGCAGTCGCCATTATTGTTTCTGGGCACACTGCAGCATCAGTGTATGTGTGTATGTGTGTGTGTGTGTGTGTGTTTACATGCTGCCTTGCTCCACGTTGGGTCCTCTGATGAAGAACGGGACTCGGATGTCAAACTCATATGGCATGGATTTACCTGCAGATACACACACACACACACACACACACACACACACAGTTCAGACTGTTCTCAGAAACTATTCGTACGTGTTCCTACAAAAACTAACGCACCAACATTTGTGCATCATGTGACCAGTACGCTGATTGGAGAAACAAAAGGAAGCAACAGTGAGCGGTGCAGAGAGGAGACAGACTGAGGTGGTCACACAACACAGGACTTTCACCTGGAGACAGGTGTGTGAACTCTGAGTCACTTTAAGGTTCCTCTTCACCATGTGTCTGTTCCTACACCTGACCTCAGTAACTCATCTGATTCACAGGATATCATACAGACCGTTCTGTGAGGAGACGCTGAACCATAAATGCATCACCATCATGAAGGTGAATGTTGGTGCCTTCAGATCTGTCACTGTCTCACTGACTCTGATTCACAGGACGTTTTCCTCCTCTGTGCTCGCTGACTTCATCAGAAGGACAGAATCAGTCCACAGGCCACAACGCTGAAAATGTCTCAGTAAAACACTGAAAGACTTTTCATTTGTTTATAACGTCAGGTGATCTGAACAGACTTCCTGTTCAGATCACACCCACAGGAAGTGTCCCAAGCTTTGAAGCAAAGTTTCATTGAGAGCAAACAGTCATACTGTTTTTTTTTACAAAACTGAATTGAATTAATGTGTCACTGATCAGCTTTCATAGTAATGAACAGGCCTTCACTGTACCGCTGTACCACGGTGTCACTGTACCGTTGTGTCACTGTACCGCTCTACCGCTCTACCACTGTACCACTGTGTCACTGTACCGCTGCACCACTGTACCACGGTATCACTGTGTCACTGTACCAATGTGACACTGTACCGCTGTACCACTGTGTCACTGTACTGCTGTACCACTGTGCCACTGTACCACTGTACCACTGTGACATTGTACCACTGTGACACTGTAACACGGTGCCACTGTACCACTGTGGCACAGTGCCACTGTACCACTGTGACACTGTATCACTGTACCACTGTGACACTGTGACACTGTACCACTGTACCCAGGTCTGTTTATACATCAGAATTTATTTTTTACCTTTGACGAGGCCAAACTGTCCGATGTGGTAACCATGATCAGACGTGTAGATGATGTAGGTGTTCTCCAGCTCTCCGGTCTCCACCAGCATGTTGTATAGCTGACAGACAGACAGACAGACAGACAGAAGGAGACACCTTTTAGATATAGTGTAGGTTTTTTTTAAAGGACTCACAGTTAACT